TTAGAATAATTGTCCGGAGACATGTTGTGAATCAGGACATGAAAATAATGGTGAACACTTGTCTCGTAGCTTCTATGTGTTTGGTGCGCACAGCTTTGATATGTTGTGAGGACTTCTTTTTTTTTATATTTGCAACTGTGCCTTAAGGAAAACTCTGCCTACGTACCCAAAAAAAGATCAAGTCGCTCGTATGGACCTAGTACTCCTGCGCTTTCATCATGAGTGAAGCTTATTGAGCAAGTTGATATCCCTTCACGTCTGACTATGTCGTTGCTCTGTCGATTCTTTGCACTTCTGGTGCTTTTCTTTGCAGCCGAATGAGTAATCCCACTAATCTCCGAATCTCCTAATATAACATTGATAAGTCTGTCGAGTTTCGGAGGTGAGGGAGGACCGGGTTTCTTAGAAGCTCTGTCGTTGTTTCTATAATCGATGAGATTCTTAGCTCCGATAGGAATTCTCTTAGGTGACCTTTCTTCAACAGTTCGTTCACCTCCATCCTGAATGAGACACAGTCTTCGGTTCGATGGCCATGATCCTCGTGAAAATTGCACCACTCTGAAGTGTCCCACTGGTCGCCATGAGTTTTTATTTTTTGAGGCCACCTCACCGTTCCACCTAACAGCTTCAATGCCCCTATCAATTCTGCGCCAGATATTGAAAGGTTGCTCATATCTGGCCATGTAGATGTTAGACGCTTGTCGACGTCTGCCCTGTTGAGCGGTCGGTGAGAGTTTCTGCTATCGCTTCGACCACCGCTTTTGCTACTAGTGTTTTCACTTCGAGGTCGATGGTAGGGTTTGTCGTCTCTCGTAGATCTTTCGTTCCTTATGACTCGTGATTCGGATCGAGGAGAATGTCGATGACGATATGCAGGGTCTTCTTCCCACTTTATCTGTGCCAATGCTCTAGAAAGCACGTCTTCCATCGTCCTACATTGGTACTTTGTCAGCTCTTTATGCAGGTCACTATCGGGGAGCAGACCTCTCTTGAAGGCGGAGATGGCGGTAGACGTAACACAGCTTGGTATTGATACTTTTTCTTTGTTGAATCGTCCCACATAGCTGCGTAGTGATTCCCCCTTCTTCTGAATCACCTCATAGAGATCGTCTGATGTCTTCTCAAGGTTCCTGCTACTTGCGAATTGTTCAACAAAACGATCAGTTAGTGAAGCAAAAGAATCGATATATCCATTTGGTAGGTTCGTAAACCATAGGAGAGCTGGTCCGGTAAGACTTGAACCAAACCCTTTGCATATGCTAGCTTCACGGTATTCCCGTCCGATTGCAGTAGTAAACATCCGTTGCTTGTACTGCGCTATGTGATTGTCAGGATCTGCGGTGCCGTCATACATCTTCATTGAAGGTACTACAAATCTTTTGGGCATCTCCACAAGAGCGATCTTGTCCGTGAACAGAGTGTTTGCGTAACAATTAGGAGCGCTCTTTGTTATCGGTGGTACTACACCGGGAAGTCGCTTGATCATCGCTTCCATATCGTCAAGACGTTTGAGGACCCAGTGTGGATCTTCTGTTGATCGGGTTGTTGCTGCTTCGCTAGGGTTAAGCAAAGATTGGATGACTTGCGTCCGAACCACATCTCTAGCTGCATCTGCGGCATATACCCCAGCTATTGGTAGTCTCACCGTCCTTGCATCTGCAGCTGGTGTAATCACTGTTCTTGCATCCGTAGCTGGTGTAATCACTATCCTTGCATCCGCAGCTAATGTAGTTCCATCAAGTGACCGCATGGGATCGACATGTCTCTGGAATCGATTCCGAGCTTCGAGCTCGGTGTTTCTGCTTTCAGCAAGTATAGACTCGTTTGTAGCTTTCAACGTAGCGTTCTCTACCGCTAGCAACGCCGCTCGTTCTTCAGCCTGCTTCATTTGGGCGATGAATTCTGCTAGTTCAACAGCGGGATCTTGGGTGTTGTTGCCTCCTGCCGTACCTTCGAGATTATCACCGTTCATCATATCTCACGTAGTTAAATCTGTATTTTCTCCTTCTAGTGCCAACTCTTTCGGGTAAATTTAATACGTTCGAATAAACAGAACTACGGAACGATAGATGATAATCTTTCTTTATTGATGAGTGATCTTAGGACAACAAACTCGAAACTACAATAAATTGAAAGCGTAAGACGGTTGTTCAAGGAAGATTTTCGGAGTTGAAAAGGTCCGATTTGCTGGAATCGGAGCTCTGCTGTAGTCACGTTGCTTGTTCGTGGAAGCAGCGAGAATATGTTCTCTAGGGTTTTTAGCTATGTTGCCCTTTTTTCCATGTCATGTTACCTTCGGAGGTCCCTACTTTATATATGTTCATAGGTCGGTGAGGATTTGGCCCTTAGGTCGGTTCTCAACTTCCCTCTTCTTCAAAAATTCGTTTCTATCATTATATGGAAATTCGTATGTATCCCGTAGGATTCGTAGCTCCTCAATCCCATGGGATTCGGACGTCGTATATATCATAGGATTCGAAGCAGCAACATTTGAACATATGTCATTTGGACTTGGCCTGCATGTGACTTTCTCAACAGGTCTAACTTAGGAATTAATTTTTCCCAACACAAGCAGAGCCAAGTACATCACCTATTGTGCTCAATTGAATAAGGTATGCATGTCAATTTTTAAGCATTTGCTTTTTCTTGACTCTTTGGTATGCTGATCATGCCCTTCCTATGCTCACCTAAATTGGGTCGTGCAGCTGATCTTTCCTTCCTCCTAGAATTGTACGTTCCTTTGTCTCCCTTTTCTGATGTAAATGAAGCTCGGTATAGTTGCTTCCTAGCGTTACCTTAGCATATAAATTTGACTACCTATAGATCACTCCGAGGCGGGATACACTAGATCTAAAAGTGGCTGATTACTATGAATCACTATACAAAGACAGTCAAGTGGAATTTAATATGTTAAGTACCTTATGTTCTAAGGATTACCACTTGCTTCTGCTCCTTGGTTTGTGTAACAGAATTCTATTATTGACTGTGCCATGTACATTTCTGTTTGCAGGTATATTAAGGCTGGGACATTGATGAATAACTATGTACATATATGTGATCTTCTCACCTGTTTGAGGCAGGTTAGTGGTATTTATAGTTCCTAGTTCAAGTAACTAGCAAATGCCTTTTCGGATAACTTAGATGTGTATGTTTGTGATGTATTTTCTCTGCAATTTTTGCAGGCTGTTGATCACTCATTCTTTGGAAACATATTACTATTTCTTTCATTTTATCGGAATAACTATGACAGTGTTTGAATACTTGAGATCTTCACTGCTGCCGCTTTGTTGAAGCGCCAAAAGTTAG